CCCATCCCCAAAAAATTCTCAGCGGATTTGGGCTGTACTCAGCAAGCGCAGTACAGCTTCCAACTCAGATCTGAAAAAACATTAGTGGATGGTTGTTTTCTGACTGGTCGGCAGACCGCCGACCAGTCGGCCCTACTGGTCGGCTGCAATACAGTCGGCGGTCGGCAGGGATACAACCATGCTTGTACATGATCAAGCAGGTCAAACATGTCAAATGACCGGTGCCTACAAACCTTGCGAAAAAGTCCGTTGAACTTGGCAGGTTCACTGTTGACTTCTTGCCCGCTTCAAGCACCCCATCATCATGTTTCTGCCGTTTTTCTCCTTCACGTCCATTTGCGGTTCCCATTACCCCTTCTCGATCCTCAGGAGCTGGTCTTGCTCTTTTCACTGGCACATTTTCCCCGGACGTGGATGAGACACCACCAGATGCTGGATTCTTGCCAAACACAAATGAAAGGAGTGGGTTTGCCTTTATGGGTTGTTTCTCCTTGGAAGTTGGCTCCTCAGAAAATGGTGTGCTCCCACTTACACCCCCTGTCCTAGCATTGCGTGCTGCTGCTTCCCTGTGGATAGTCTCAAGATCCACCTGCTCAGTCACCAAGACACATTGAGACAAGCGCTGAAGTCATTGAACAGTAGAGGTCCCAATTGGAGAATGGGAACCTTCAAAGTGACCACCTGCATGCTTTTCATTCATTCCCCAACCCTCTGCACTTGTAGTCCTCTTTGTGTCCTGCAGGTCAACCCCCTTTTAAACCACCAGTGCTTCAGAGGCACTTTTCTCTGAGGCTGGAAACGCCCTGCGTGCCGTGCGCGGCAAAAAAAAATGAAGTGGCGCAGGCTTCCTTTTGGCTGGCGCCGCCAGCCATTTTGATCTGCAGGCCGAGCTCCGACAGTTGCGGCTGCGTGCACGCCGCGACTTTGAAACATACTGGTGGTTTAAATTGCAGGCTGCTGCAAAGAGGTAGGTGGGGAAGAATCTGGAGGCAAACCCCTAGCACGCTGCTTCAGGCAGTCCAAAAGGTTATCATCATACTTTTCGGCACACCTGTGTACTACGCTGTGTGATGCACCAAAAATAACAAAATAATAAAAAATATTGCATATAAATTCAAACCTGTGCTGTTATCCAGGCAGCTCGGACTGGCTTTGGCGGCCTGGGTTAACCACCTGAGCGGGGCCCAGGCATGGTCCATGGAAGCCCCAGTGTGAAATATAAAAAAAGGCCCAAACAATCGAAAAGCAAAGCAGTTGTGTAAAATTGCAATGCAACAACTTTAGGCCGAAATCACCACCTTGATATTCTTGTCCCTGTTCTTATTTCCAAAAAGAATTTTTATTAGGACGGGACCAAGGCCCAGAGCAGTACATCAACAGACAAAGAGACCCATCAGGAGCCAATAGGCCTGATATTCTTGTCCCTGTTCTTATTTCCAAAAAGAATTTTTATCAGGACGGGACCAAGGCCCAGAGCAGTACATCAACAGACAAAGAGACCCATCAGGAGCCAATAGGCCTNGTTCTTATTTCCAAAAAGAATTTTTATCAGGACGGGACCAAGGCCCAGAGCAGTACATCAACAGACAAAGAGACCCATCAGGAGCCAATAGGCCTCAAGCCTGAAACTGCAGGCTGAGCCTTACTCCTGCAGCAAGAGGGGCCAAGAAGCTCATATCGTGGAAGCGCTGTTGCGGTCTTGTGGAGTCGAGCAGCAAGTGAGGCTGGAAATAGTGTGTATCCAACGGCACCCATCAACAGAGCTCAGTAGACAGGGAGAGAGAGTCACACCAAGTGAAGAGGGAGACACACACACACACACACACACACACACACA